TGGCCCCTCAGGTTTCTCTCGTTACACCAGTACTGCCTCTCCATTATGGTCATTGTAGAGACTGGCAGGAAGTATCTTTAATGGACTGAGTTAGGTTCCGTCCACAATCCAGGAACTTAAGTCCTAGCCCTCTTTGTACTGCAGGATGTGATCTTACCTGGATATGGGGCACTGCTGATGTGAAGAATGAAACAATGTCACTAGATGGACCATAATTTGATAGTGTCCTTATAGAAAGGACTTGTTTGGACACAGACAAGCATACAGGGAGAACAAAACTGGAGGTGAAGACAGAGATGAGGGCAGGGGACTGCCAGTCTAGGGGAGCCCGAAACTACCTGCCACCTGGGGAAAAGGAGAGAGCAGGAGGTCCCCACTAGTTCTGAGCAGGACCCTCCATGTCTGCACCTTCGTCTTGAACTTCCTGCCTCGTGAGCATGAGATCAGGGCTCAACTGTCAATTAAGCAGCCCAGAATATGGTTTTGTATGGTGGTAGGCTAGGAAACAAACACAGTGTATCCTGTATTAAGTTCTAAATATGCTGATCATCTCTAGGGGGCTTGGGGTGTTTGGGGAGCAGGAAACCCCTTGCTGTGGGCAGGGAACATAGACATAGCTCCAGCCCCAGCCTGAGACACTGTGTAGACCATGCCCCCTGCACACTCCACCCAGCCTGGTGCCCTCATTTCCCTTCCAGATGCTATACACACATGCACACGTGCACACACACATACTCACATACATGCATGCTCACACACACACACACACACACACCAGCTGAACTCATAGAGCACACCCCCACATTGCCAGGAGGACACCTCTCCCATGCCTTAATGTCCTTGGCAGGGAGAGCAGCTCCATCTCCCTTCAAACCTGCTCCTTCCAGCCACCTGAACTCACCCTCCATCACCTATAGTGATACCATTGTCTTCCTCAGAAGCTGAAATGCTTAGGACACAACCAATTTCCTCTGGGTAAATGATGAATGTGGTCAGTGAGGGATATGGCCAATGGATGTGGTCAATGGATGAGTGTAGCCACTGAATGCAGTCAATGATGGATGTGGTCAATGATGAATGTGGCCAGTGGATGTGGTCAGCGATGGGTGTAGCCAATGAATGTGGTACATAATGCGTGTAGTCAATGGATGTGGGAAATGATGGATGTGGCGAAATCATATTTTAGCAGATGATCTATCACACAGTTTATCTCTAACCCCCTCTCTCCCACCAAACCCCACAGGACGGTTGTCCAGGGGAAAGAATGTAACTTGGTCTGGGCCATGTTGAAATTGTTTGCTGATCAAAGTACTGTGGACAGTTTCCCAAGGCTACCACCACCACCTCCTCCTCCTCCTCCTCCTCCTCCACACAGCTCCAAAGGGCTCACTTTTTGCCTTTTATACATGTTGGATTTTGTTTAAGGGGAGAATTGCAGATGCAAAATTTCAGATTTGGTATGACTCTGGGAGAGATAATAGATGCCAGGCAACAGACCGCTACCTCCAGTTTGCCTTTTTCATCCAGTGGAACTCATCACCTTGTCGTCTACCTTATTGCACTCCCAAAGGCCCCAGTTGTCCATAAGGGTCTGTTTATCTCAAGAGAACTGAGGGTCTGGGGTTGGCATAAAAATTCTAAAAGATCTCGCTGTGGGGTCTGTACTCCACTGTTCTCCTCCACAAAATCAATGAGCACATCTGAGTCCTAGTGGGTGGTTGAGTTTACAAGGATTACAAGGTATATAATGCATGAGACACTGCAAGGACAGAAAGAGGTAGGATTAGTAGTTCCACCTTCCCACTGAAACTGGGCGTCATAAGACCTAATGCACTTCTTCGCTCCTTTTCCAGAAAAGCTCCAGAAGGAAATTAAGAGCCCCCAAACTAGAAACTTCAGGGAGATTTTTCAATATTTGCCAGTGCAATGGGGGAAGAGAAACAAAGATAGATATTCTATATTCTATATTCTTTCAAAGAACTAGAGGCAAGGAGCACTGCTGAGTTCATAGGGTGAGGGTCTGGCATGGTGAAAACTTCAAATATGCCAGGACAGTGATGGGCAGTGAAGGTTGGTGGTGCCCAGCACCACCCAGGTTGAGGATAACTGTCATCTAACTGGATTCTTTTGGGAATCCTAAAACATCAGTATGAGTTATACATCCAGGGAAACTGAGGTTCAGGACCAGGACTCAGGGCTGTGAGGCAGTAGGAACAAGGTTCAAGTTCCAGGTCAAAAGTCATGTGCGTTTTGGGCTATATCCAACTGTGCTCAGGACTTACTCCTAGCTCTGTGCTCAGGAGTCATTTCTGGCAGTGTTTAGGGAGCCCCTCTGGTGTTAGGTATCAAATTCTAGGTCAAAATTTACCAGCTGCTGGTAAATTTTCGGACACCACATTGTCAGTTTTCTGGGAGAGAGTTTTACTCCCTGTTTTCTTCTCTATTTGCCAGGAACATGGGCGTTTTCTCTTCCAGTGGGTGGGGGAGGGGTCAGTTCTCCATAAGGGACTATTGAAAACCTGAAGTTTCAAGGTCAAGTCTTAGAAGCAGGATATTAGTGTATCTTTTTTTTTGAGGGCATTTCTGTCCCACCTCTACCATCAGAACTGGGGGTGGATGGTGGCCGGCTCCCAGCCTTCCTTCCCTCTGGGGCAAGCAGGTACTCACCACAGGTCCTGGGCTCAGGCTGCTGGTTTTCTGCCCACAGGAAAGTGGTGTTTACAGCTCTCAGCCTCCTAGTCAATATTTTTCAGTGCAGTAGCCGGAACCGGTATTTGGGCAGTGCACCAAAAGCAGGAAGGGACATTTTTGTTTATTTTTAAGTATCTGTCTAGGTTGTCTGAGCAAACAAATGAATTGAATCATGATCCATCTCCAGCTGAGTTGGGGAATGTTCTGATACTACAGGTGGCAGCCCTTGAGGTGGGTGCTGCCTGTCCATTGTCGGAGTTCTTGTGTGTTGCAGGAGATTTTCCCCTGGATCCTGCCCCCAGGAAGCATGGCAGAGGCATAGTCCGTCCTACTGAATGTGGGCTCAGACCTGTAGCTTTCTTAGCAGTTTCTGTGGTCAAATAAATGACTCTCTCTCCCCAGTCAGGTTGTCACTGCCTGCCACACTATTTCAGCATTTCATTGCCACATTATTTACTTTTATTTATTTTTCTTATTTTTAATATTTTTATTTTATCAATGTACCATGGTTTACAAAGCTGTTCATAGACACACAGTGTTCCAGCACCAACCCCACCACCAGTGTTCCCTTCCCTCCACAAGTGTCCTCAGGTTCCCTCCCCAAAAACTCCTCAACTTGCCTCTCTGATGGGCCCATTTGGCTGTTAAAATCTGCATCTCATGTTTCCAGTGTTGTTGACTCTTTGATTTGGATATGTATTATATATTTTATATAATAGCTACACCACTCCTTATTTTTATTTGTGTGTGCGTTTTGGGCTATATCCAACTGTGCTCAAGACTTACTCCTAGCTCTGTGCTCAGGGATCATTTCTGACAGTGTTTAGGGACCCCCTATCGTGTTAGGTATCAAACTGGGCTGGCCATACACAAGGCAAGCACCTTAACTCCTGTACTTTCTCTTCAGCCTCTTCACTGCTACTTTAAAGATATGTAGTACATGCAAAGAAAATAAATGATGAGAGGAAATTCAGTAAGGAGTGCATGATCCCTCCTGCCATAAGAAAGGTCCTTCCCAGATATCATTCCCTCCATTTCATACATGTTTTACCCAAGAATGAAGCATGGAGTTAAATGAACATTTATTTATGAGAAAATCTCTAGGGCACAGAGTTCAGATGGCTTGTAAATTCTACTCTGTGGGTGCTGCATTCTCCTATTTGGCTGCAAAGAGTGTGTGCCTCTGTATAAAAGCATCAACTAAGCAATGTTGGCAGAATTATTTAATCTCATGCATAAAATAGTCAAAACTTTCCTGGGGGTCTCTAAAACATTTTAAAGTCCCCACCCAAGGATTGGATCTGATTCACCAACAGAGTGAGACTAAGGTGCAGTCAGATAATACAAGATGGCTGGGGGGGGGGGTCTGTGAGGCTGGAGTAAACCTCTCTGTGGGGAACCTGGGGGAGATGCTTTCCTTGGGACTCAACCAGTGTGAACTGGAAAAGGCCAAGGTCAGGGACTTTGGTGTCAAGCTCTGCTGGGCTCTGAGTACCCATCAATCCTGGGGCTAGAATGGCTAGAACCTTTTGGGTGTTTACAAAGACACATAAGCAAGAGTATCGAAGTAGATGGCCAGATACTCTTTTTCACCTAAGAGCAATCCAGATCACTCTTGGCTTGTGCAAATCAAATGTTTCCCTCTTGCAATTGACATATTCCACACCTGGGAAAATGAACAACTCTCAAGACACACATTTTGGATTCTATTCAAAATCTGGCACACTGAGAGTCCACTTTATAGTGCTGCACGAGCTTCAGTGGGAGGTGTCTGAGCCCTAGTCTCTCTGACACACTGACATCATGCAAGATCTTGCTCCTGTCGCTTCTCTTTTCAGTCCTACTTCCGCTCACATTGGGGCAATCAAAACCCCCGCATAGAGATCTCTTCCCAGCTCCTTCTTTTCCCCTTAGAGCTGGGAGACACACAGGAGTCCAGAGCAGTGTTTGCAGGCATCAAAACTAGTTTGTCATACTCCTTTCTATGGAAGGGTCCTTGCCTCTATCCCAACTTCCTAATAGGGTGACCTGGGTAGTCAGGATGGTGGCTGTGATCTATGTCCAGTTAAGGGGACTGGCTGCTGGATGGACAGGAAGAAGGCCTGGGACCATCACAGACTGAAATGCCCTCTGTACCCTGTTGCACAGACATGCTCAGAATTGCCTCTCTGTGACTGTCAACCATGTCCCAGGTTAGAAAACATACCCACCCAAGTCCTTACCATTGCACCCCCAACCCTCTTCTTGATCACGCCCCCCTCCATTTCTGAATGAAAGACACAATTCTCATACTCCTCATGTTATGCTTCACTACATGGACTTTATTTTCTTCACTCAGGGCATGTTAAGGACCAACGGTAGGCCACCTGGCCAGGCCTCTACTCATCAGTGGGGTTGAAGACTCGGGCCACCATTATCTCTGTTTCGTTCTTACAATCCATCACAAACAGAAAGAAGGGCCTGTTGACTTTCACAACTGTAGCTTCAATTGAGTCTCTTTCCTGGATGTCTCGCTTCTTCCTGTCCCTGGCCAAGTCCCTGGGAGTCATCGTGTTATTTTGGTTCATTTCTATTGAAGCTGCATGTGTGCCCTGGGATGGAAGCAAGAATATGTCAGATTTGGTCAAGCACTTTGTGTTAGGCTCAACTGACCCCACGTGGCCAAGGTTGGAGAAGCAGACCCTTCCATGGCTGAGGGTAGGTGAAGGGGAAGTTGGTTCCCAACTCACAAAATCCTCTAGGACCACAGCAATGGTGCAGAGGGTGGGGAACTTGCCTTACATGTGGCCCACCTGGATTTAATCCCCAACATTCTATATGGTGCCTGAGTCCACCAGAAGTGATCCCTGAATGGAGAGCCAGGAGTAAGCCCTGAGCACTGCTGGGTGCAGCTTAGTCCCAGGCCCTCTAAAGAAGAAGGAGAATAAAAACCCTTCAGAGTCCCTACAGTGGCTGCCACTAAAGGCCACTCTCCAGGAAGGTGTGACTCGTGGTTGGATCAGACTCTCCCAGGGCTTGACCGGCTGGCAACTTCAGGAGTTTGGGCATTGACAAGAAAGGAAAGGTTCATAGCACACACAGAAGTGCAGGGTCTGCCAGCTCAGGAGTAGAAGGCTATACAATTACTGAGGAGGCCCTTTGAGACACTTTATCAGATGGATGTAGCGAAAAAATGATAAGGGAGAGGGGGTGCTCAGTCTTCTCCACAGACCACTTTCCCTCTAAATGCGCTGTTCCTGTCTGAGTCTGTATGTCCGTCCCTTGGATCAGCAGGAAGCAAATGCTGGGAAGCAAGAGGACATGTGGGGATGGGGCAGCTCCCACACTCAACGCGAATGCCCTGGCCCGAGGCCTCTGTTCAGCCTAAAGGAAGGAGAGTTTACATCCCCCAGGGTGGTGTCTGGTGTCTGGTTCCTACCTTGGGAATTCCATCCCTGCCCCTGAGCCAGCTCTTTCCCCCTCTCAGTCCCTTCTCCCCAGTTCCATGGCTGAGTTGGGGGAGAAACTCAGAAGTGGGGGTGAGGAAGGTGGTAAATGATGGCTATGCAGGCCCTGGGCTCGGGGTTTCAGAACAGCCCCAGGAGCTGCGAGAGGATTAATCAGCAGGCAGCCCCATATACCCTCTGGAGAGGAAACTTCATCTGTACCCCAGGGCAGCTGGAACTCTGAGTGAGCTCTCTGCACCCAGGCCCTCTTCCTCTGCCCTTCCTATCTCCCCCAACCTTCTCTCTCACACAGACACCTTCTGTCTCACACCTTCTTAGGCTTCCTCCAAAACCTCATGTTCTTTCCCACCTCATGATACACTTATGGCTCCCCTTGGCCTGAACATTCATTCCCCAGAGATGCTCTCTTGGAGTGTGTATCCCCAGAAACGCACTCACCAGCCCTTTCTTTCTCTTCACACAAACTCTGAGTAAGGTCATCCCACCCCAAGGCCTTGCCTGGCCTGAGACATCCCATACCATCGTAATCACTGTTCATGTTTCTCTGCTTTATTTTCTTTCCAGAACCTAAGCCAGGTTGATAAGAACTGTCTTTGTTGTCATGTTCTTTACCTTCCCCTGTCATATTTAAGGAATTTCTGAGAGGAAGATTTTGGCTTTCTCATAGACATCTTCCCAATGGGGCAATACTATAGTGGGTAGGGTGCTTGCCTTGCAGGTGGGCCTAATTTGATCTCCAGCATCCCATATGGTCCCCTGAGGGCACCAGGAATGATCCCTGAGCACAGAGCTAGGAGTAAACCCCGAGTAGGGCTGGATATAATCCCAAAACAACAATAACAACAAACCCATGTTTCAAGCACCTTCAAAAGAATCTGATGCAAATACATTAAAAGGAATGCATGACTAAAAAAACCCCAAAAGTCAATGGATTAGGACATATGGGAGTTATAAGTGCTGTTTTTTATAGTGACTTTCGATCAAGACTTCTGTAGGTTAGACACTCACCTCAAAATACACTGGGAAAACATCTTTTGTGATGTAGGAGAAGTTTGCTGTTGTAGAAAACATATCTTTGATGCCCAGTTTGGGAAGCAGATGTCTAAGATTGATCTTGTAGGAGACCTTGAACTTGGGAATCATTAAGCTCACCAGTCTGTGAAGAGTGAAAACCACAAGGAAGCTGTCAGACAGGCCCTTCTCCTTGGGCCGAGGACACCTTGCTCAGGACTAATGTTCTTTCTCCAAGAGAAAGACAAAGGGCAGGAATTGATATTAGAACTTGGTTGGGAAGGAAGGAAAGGCGGTAAAGTATGAGCTGCAATTTTTGAATTTCTAAACAAACCATTGGCTCACAATGCATTATATACTCACATAATTCTCTCCTTTTGGTCTTGTTACCCAAAGATAAGGATGAGAACTGGGAATCCATCCCTGAGTCCAACTGACCCACCTTTTACAAGAGGAAAGTTTATTTGGGCAAGACCCTAAACATGGTAAGGGAGACTGAGGTGTGAGGTCATCGGACTCGAGGAGATGTCAAAGGAGTTGACTGTCCTTTCCCTCTCTGGAGAGAGGAGTACCAGTCCAAAAGGGTGGGGAGAGGTGGGGCTGCAGGGACAGCTCCTCTTTCTGCTATCAACTCTCCTGGTGCCAGAGTGAAATGTAGTATGTCATGTAGTGTCAGAATGCATTGCTATTCATCCGGCCCACTAACCAATGCCTTTTCGCCTGCGACAGTGTGGGGTTGAGCTTCTGATTGGGCTGTGACCAGCTCACTTGGATTGATTCTTCATTGGTTCCTCCCCTCTGCCCAGGGAAGAACTTCTTGGGAGGTACTTTCACTCTGGGTCAGATTTCACTCTGCTGGGTGCCTCACACAAGGCAGAGACGGACTGGATCATGTTTCTGCTGCTATGAGATGTGGGAAGACACCTTTGGGATATTTCTTCCCTATTTAAACATTTATTCCCTGAAGACTCTTCCAACCCCTGCCCACTGCCAATATCAGAGAGCCACTGAAGACTATGTCTCTGCTATGTAATGTGTCTACATTTGATTGGATCTTCACGAAAACCACAGTGAAGCTGAACCAATCCATCACTTTCCTCCAGGAATCAGTGACCGGAACTGAAAGTTACTAAGTTAAGTCTGGCATGGAGCATTTGGTTGAGAGCAAGGAAGTCCTACCTGTCAATCCTGGTCTCAGCTACGGTCCACGTTGGTTTCCACTTGACATTTATTTTCCTTATTAGGATCCTTCCCTAACCATCATAACTCACTAAGATCTCTATAATTAAAATCCATAATTATTGCTCTATCACTGGATTCTCTATTTTATCACCTATTTATTTTCTCCATAATTTTTATTGTAATTTGGAATGAGATGTTCGTGATTTGGCCTTATGCTTCTCCCTCCATTGTGAAAATTCTATAATTTAAGAGGTGAGCTTGGCTAACCAAGTAGTTTCTGACCTAGGACACGTGTTCAGGAATTTGTGCAGGGGAGTGGTTCACGTGTAAAAGTGGTAGAATCTAATTTGATCCACTAGAAAAATAGAAGAAAGGATGAAGTTTTTTCTAATAGATTAGAAGGAAGGACAAATGATCATAAGAGAGTGGCATGAATCCCTGGGGTGGTGTTGGCCCTTTTCTGATTTCTCTTAGGACTCAACTGGGTTTATTTCCTTGGGGTTCATGGAGTACCACTCTCTGTTTCCAGCATATTCCTCTCTTTACTATCTGAAGTTTGCACTCAATAGCTTTTTGATCCCATACTTCTAACCTAAGAACCATCATTAGGAGAGGGTAAGGCACTTCTGGTTGGTGATCCATTGCAGGCCGCCATTATTGGCATGCCCTTTGCTTCCTATAAACATAATCGAAAATATACAGATGTTCAGGTAGGTCCCCCACAAATAAGACATACAGAAGTGATATCTGAGCAAAACTTCAGTGACTGTCCCTCTAGATACCATACCTTGTGTCCCTGTGGTGGGAAAGTCTATCTCGCTTAAAATCCATCCTACTTTGAGTAGCAGAGAATTCCCCTTCATCTGGGAGCACGAGAACTAGAGACAGATGCTCATTATAAGGCAACTCAACCGTTGTGGCCAACAGCTCATCCCATCTGCTGTAAATCATTCGATCTGTCTTCATCATCATCTCCACATGCACGCTCTTGAACTTGTTCACAAAGAAGGTCTCTTTCTGCGTGATGTCAGTGTGGAAATTTCCATTACAACTGCCTGGGGGAATCAGTAAGGAGAAAGTGCAAGTAGAATCTGAGAAAACATTCTCCTCATGCCTTTGTCTTGTTAACCTGGAGGTTCTCAACACCAGAAGAAAGTAAATACTATACAATAAGACCCCGACAGTCTTGCCTATCTAAAAATGCAAAATCCAGGAACTTTTCTGTTCCCTGGCTTTTCTCACAGCCCCCTAAGGAGTGATGTGAACAAAGTCCAAGGCAAATTCCCCTGGAGCATCAAAGAAGCCGTGCAGTAATGTCTGCTTTGGAACCCTGGTTCCAAAGAGCGATGAGAGACCTCCTATAGCCTCAGAAAGTGTCGGGAGCATTGCTTTCTGGAAATTTTTCCTACTTATCGTGCAAAGAACAGCCAACCTTTACATCCTGGCAGAACACTGGGTACGCCATGATCGGATGCCCTCCATTTATTCATCCCAAACCTAATGTCTCTCTAGTATCAGCAACATGCCAGCATTCTGAAGAAGCAAGCACTGATTTAACCTTAGAAAATGAACAGATTTGCTGAAGTGCATGCCTCTAACAAAAGATTTTCTTTTCCTTATTTTTTTCAACCTGTGAGTCACTTCATTTTACTTAAGTTAAAAGATTATCTTAAATGTAAAAAAAAAAGACATGATTTGGAAAACTTGGAAGGAGGAAAACAAGCTACACCTCAGAACATATCTAAAGAAAATGGCAAAGTCTAGGCTACATTGATCTATAGGTAATTACAAACGCATACCTTCTTTCTGAAACTCATTGAGGAAATGCGGAGATGAAGAAGATCCAAAATGGGAACTATTGCAAAAATTTCTGTGTCTGAAGAAAATGTAATTTACAAGCAACATGAATGTTTTAGGGTCCACAGGGGTGATTATGTCGTGGAATCTCTCCTTGATTTTTTCAGGCACAACCTCCTTCATGTCCACTGTGGCCTTTCCTGTGTCTTGGAAGTCAATTTTGTGGACCTTTGCATTATAGGTATACATGTCCTTCATAAATGCTGGCTCGATTGTCCTGTGGCTGTTGATAAAGAGGAAGTTTCTGTGTCTCAGAAATTTCTTTTTCTGCATCCCATTCAGCTTCTGGAGGACACCCAGGAGGAACTTCTCTACAATGTCAGGGTCTGCAACTTTGAGATCATAGCCGAGGGCATCCAACAGGTTGAAGAATGTGTTGGATCTGGTCCCCCTGGCAATCAAGATCAGAGCAGTGGAGATGCTTATGGGGGAGAAGACAAAATTACTTTCTGGGTTCTCTTCTAACATAATCCTCAACATTTCCTGAGAAAACACCTCGTGGAAATGGGTCAGGTCAGCACTCATGGGCAAGATTGAGGAGTTGCTGGAGTTGGGCCCTGCATGCTGTTCACAGGGCATGGGATGGAAGAGGCCAAGGAGGATGAAGGCCAGAGAGAGTGGCGCCATTTTCCTGGAAGACATTGCTGCAACACAGAGAGATATTATTGTGGGTAAGAGATGCATGGGTGAAAATGACAGAATCATGCTCTGGAAGCTGAACTTCTTTAAATAAAACCATTAAAGTATGGGTGCCACCACCTGCCAAGCGGGACACCTATGGGTCCTTCATGGGAGCTGGAGGATACAAAAAAAAGCCTGATGAACACAAGATCAACTTCAGACAGGGATCTGGAATGTGATGGAGGAGAGGACCAATTCATGTGGGGCAAGTGGGGTACTTATTCCTATGATTTTCTCAGACTTCAATGAGAAGTTCTACACTGAGGTTTATCTTCGATTCCTTTCACACCCTTTTTATATGGGGCTTATGAAAAAGTCCTGACAGGTATGGAAAGGGAAGAACCAAGAAGAAACATGGGGGTGATACAATAGCTCAGTGAAGGGTGTGAATCTCATGTGAGAGATTGGGGTTTGATATACAGCACCGCATGGTCTTCTGAGGACCACCTTGAGCACCGAGCTAAGAGTGGCCCCCAAGCAGTACCAGGTTTGATCACAAAACAAAACAAAGAGATCTGACTAGATCTCTATAGGGAGAGAGATCTATTGCAAAAATGGGAACTATTTTATCTCTCTATAGGGAGATCTGGTCAGAAACACCTGTGTACAGCTCTCGGAAGTAATCAATAGGGAACAGTGGTACTGAGGCCGTTGGAGGGGGTGCCTAGGCAGAAGGGAGAAAAGACCTTTCTTCGCATCCAAGGAATACCAGGTGTTGGGGAGCTGAGAAGACCTATCATTCCTGCTTCCTGCCAACTAGGGTCTTGGTCCTGAGAGGTCAGGCCTTCCTTACATTGACCACCACCTCCACCATGCTCACCTGAGCACTGAGCATCTTCAGGTACAATCCCTACTGCAATCCAGAATTGCAGAGTACAATCCCTACAGCCTCCTCCTGCTTCTCTGAAAGGTTCTTCTAGCCCCTTCTATACTGCCACATTTGTCTACCTCATCTGAGCTGGTGAAATGGGCAGAAAGAGGGTGGAAGAACATTGTGGTTGAGGAATCAGTGACTGGAAGTGAGCCAGTGCGGTAGGGTAGGGGAAGTGCCCATAGGAATAAGAAGAACCATGGGGTGGTGGATGGGAGGAGCATAGGGTGGAGGATGGGAGGGGTATGTGATGGTTGATGGGAGGGACATGGGAGTGTTGATGGAAGGAACATAGTGTAATGGATAGGAGGGGCATGTTAGGCAGGAAATGCGAGGGGAGCAGGGAGTAGGGATTGGAGGGGATTGGGCTCGGAATGGGAAGAGCATGGGATAGAAAGAGGGAGGGGCAATGGGGTAAGGTACGAGAGAGGGTCAGGGGCAGGGACTGGGAGGCCAGCATCTTCCCTACAACAGATATGGCTGAAAGCAGGTCGAAGAGCAGTGAGGTATGAGCTGGGGAACCAGCCCACCCAGTAGAGCACATGTACTGTGCAGGTAAGGCTGAGGTGGATCCCTGCTATAGCAGATACTACCTGCCCCCACTCCCTAGCAGTGCCAGGTGGGACCATAGAAGCCCCTGAGCACTGAGCATCTTCAGGTACAATCCCTACTGCAAGAAAAGCAAAAACACAGCAATTCAGAAGACCCCTAGTCTTCCCCAGAGGAGAAAGGTGACTTACCTTTCCAAGGAGCTGCTGCTGCCTTTGGTTCAGTGCCTCTGCTGGGGTCTTATTTATACTCCCACTAGACTCATGAGGCAGACAAATATGAGTTAATATTAACTTGGCCAATAGTCACATTCAAATATTGCCCCAAGCCAATAGCAGCCAAGTCATTCCTTACGTTATTTCCCCTATGCCTCCATCTCCAGCCAAACAACAAGCAACCCCCAACTGTGGCTGGTGGCTCACACTCAGCTTCATCTCACCACACATGCAGTTCCTCCTAAGAGCCATGCCTGGGCCATGTTTCCAGGAAACTGAATGTATGAGGCCTGTGCCCTACTCTATGGTTGCCCCATAACCTAAAGGTTCTTCATTGAGAGGGAAAGTTATGCTACAAAAAGGATGAGGTGGGTGTGGGGGTGCCATTAGGGCCAGCAGACTGGGAAAGTGAAGATTTAGGAATCTGAGACCACTGGGGGAGGTAAGCACCATTCCTCCAAATTGTGCACACCCATCAAGGAAGTCTGGACTGAAATTTGAGTGACCAGGGTGCTGTAAGGGGCTCTAGGGGAGGGTCAAGGCCATGCGAGTGCAGTTTTTCCAGGTCCATAAGGATTTGCTTCCAGCAGTATGGTGTAAAGTAATTGATTGATCTCCTGATACTAACTGATGTCCTAGACAAAAGTATACAACAAAACTATTTCAGCCTCTGAAAGCCACCCAAGGCTTAAGATGAAGACAGAACCATTCATTCCTGAAACAACTTGAACATGCTGATCATAGAATGAGACTGGGACATCTTTGCCAGGGCTGCTCTCACCCACTTCTGCTCTGCCCACAGCAGGTTGTGGCCACCAGAGCCAATTCACTGAATTTGGAGGATTGCTGTTGAGAATGAAGATTTAACAGGAAGTGAAGAGTGTGTGTGCATGTGTACATGTGCATTCTTGTATCTGGGGGCAGGGATTCTCCTCAGCTGAAGCTGTGTGCACGGAAGTAAAGGACCAGAGGGTACACAGGGATTAAACAGAAGATGTGGTTGTTAAGGGGTGAGATTGGGTCTTTTCTCATTCCCAGTTCAATGGAAGCCAAGACTAGAGAGGGTCTGAGCCTGCAGCCCAACTGGATGGCAGAGACACAAGAGGAAAGTGAGGAATAAAATGTAGGGAGCACTTGAGGGGTTTCATTGGGTACATCAGCAGAAAAGAAAAGCTTTATTAGTCAGAACAATTTCAAAACAATCTGTGGTTGAATAGTGGGAACACAGGCCACGTCCAGATTAAAAATAAAATGAAGAAAGAACATTTAAAAGGCATACAGCTTGCGAAATGAGAGATGTGACTCCAAATTCCCAAACAACCACTGTGAGCAGACAACATGTAGCACTTACAGGAAAGAGTCGTCAGGTTGTGCACAATAGCAAGGGCTGCCTGAAAGATGGCTTCAAAACACATGGCTAATGTTCAAGTCAACATCAAGTGAAAACTAAAATGATGGGAAAACACGTTCATGCCACCACAGCAGGCATTGCTCCGCTGAACTCAGACAAAACATAATAGACTTTAAACATGACCCTTATCAGAGGCAGATTTTTAAGTTTGATTATTATTAAAGTTTTGGTCTCACAATTTCAGTATTTTTTTTTAAAATTTTATTAGTGAAACATCATGATGTTAACACTGGTGGCAGGATCCGTGATGGAATATTTTATGTCTAAAACCCAACTATAAACAACTATATAAATCATGGTGCTTTAATAAAATAAAATTTGGGTAAATTGATGATTAAGTTCTGAGTTTATAATATCCAGCATGCTGACTATACCAATTAATACTGTATGGTATAGCAGAAACATTATGAGAGTAGATTTTTTTTCTCCAAGCACATAAAAATATCAAGTTTATGAAATGATAAATCTGTTAATACTTGATTGTGGTAATAATTTCATAATATGTATATATGTGCATGCATATATATATACATGGTACTGTATCTTTTAAAAATCACATTGAAAAACTTACATATATAAAATTCTTATTTGTCAATTATATCTAAATAAAACTGGGTGAAATTTAAAAAAAAACAGAGACAGAGGGGCTTCTCATGATAATAACAAGATCACCGTATCAGGAAGAGGAAATGTGTAAATGTCAGCCTCAGACTCCCACAATGAATGAAGCAAAAAGGCTCAGAATTGAAAGGAGAAAAAGAGGCTTCAATAAAAAAAATAGAAAAATAAATAAAGTGGGGGATGAAAAACTATTAGACTTTTAGAAGAAAACATAGGGGAGCTGGAAAGTGAGTACAGGAAGTCAGGCTCTTGCTTTGCAAGTGGTTACTTGGCCATGATTCTAATTCAATCCCCAGGATCACATGTGGAGACCTGAGCACCACCAGGAGTGACCCTTGAACACAGAACCAGGAATAAGTTCTGGGTACAGCTGGATGTGTCCCTCCGTCAAACAAACGAACAAATAAAAAAAACATAGAGGCCATCTTAATGAAGCTGGGTTAGGGAAATCGTAAATGTGATTTGTGTAAAGGAAAGGGGTACGGAGAGGATATGTTCAGGATGTGGAGGTGACAGAACAAATCACAGAGAATTTTTCTTATGCCTTAGGCCAGTCAAGGGCCTTGGCTGATTGAATTTGAGAATCACTGTGGACCCCACATCCTTGGTATCCCCTGCTTCCTTCCCTTCTTTGCCTGTGCACCATTGTACTTTTAGGGGACAATAGGAAAATCACTCCCTTCTTAATTTCACAGGACACAAGATCTCAGTTTCAGGAGCTAAACTTAAGAAATGGCACCTGAGAACCTCTCCTGGACCCAGCTTCAATGGCCAAGTCCTAGACATTAAGATGAAGATGGGATAAGATGAAAGAGACTCTCATGAATAAGCTGCCCTGTGTCTCCTTTAGGAAAGCAGAAGTTATTTGCCTTTGATATTTTTTACCAGAAGGTGGACTGTAGGATTTAAAGAAACCTACCTTGGAAGGTGACAGTGATGATGGGATTAGTGTTGGAATATTGAATGCCTCTAACAAATCATCACGAACAACTTTGTGAACCAGTGTTTAAATAAATTGTGTGTATGTTGGGGGGGGGGGGTGAAGGTGGAAGGTACCAATGCTTTCCTCTTACCAGATGATAGAACAAATCCTAAAATATATAGGGATGTAGAAGTCTTTTTTTGCTTTTCTGGTTCCCCAAATATTTTATGTCTTTATTCTGTAAGTTTTAGTTCTTCTATTTTTTAAAATTTTTATTAGTGAGACACCATGAGGTACAGTTGTAGACTTACAAATTTTTGTGCTTGGGTTTCAATTATACAATGATCAAATACCCATCCCTCCACCAGTGCCCATTTCCCACCACCACGGATCCCAGTATCCCTCCCACCCCCCATCCCCCCCGTCCTACCCTGCCTTTGTGGCAGGGCATTCCCTTTTGTTCTATCTCTCCTCTTGGGTGTTGTGGTTTGGGATGCAGAAGTCTTGAGCATCATCTTCCACATGCAGTCATGACATTTGCAGAAGACTCACATCTTTTAGGCAGAGCATACGTGTTTATCAGAAGCACATGCAAAATAGTATTCAGAGTAGATCATATGCTGCTCCATATAACAAGCCTAAAATCAATCTTTAAAGATGTAAGTGATCAGAATCATGTTGTCTCACTATGATACTTCTGCAACTGAAAAAATATCTGTAAGAGAGACAGCTGCAATTAAAATAACCCAGAGTTATTGTACAGAGTAAGAGAAATCTGTTGTTAGAATAATCCAGAGTTATTGTATGCCCTATAGTTTCACAGGACCTCACAGGGCAAACACAGAAATAAAATTCAGCCTATCAAAACTTGGGGCAGTCTCTAAAGCAACAGCTAAAGGAATTGTTTAAGATGTACACATCTCTGTCAGAAGGAAGGTACAAGATACTTGGCTAAGGATTTGTCTTCTTAACAAATGATGCTGAGATAGCCACACCCACCTCCCACAGATGCCACTATGCCATCTCACCCGCCGGGCCTGATCTTCAGATTCACCAACTAAATCTCTAAGAAGATGCAAGTCAAGCTGCTGAATTTCATGGACACGTGGGTCTCCCAGTTGAAAACTCTGGGGCCCCATAGGGAGGTGGGTGGATGAGTCCCTGCCCTGCCAAAGCCCCAGCAGCTGCTTCCACAACCCATAGCTTCCACTATGCCAGTAGTCTAATTCCTTGGCTTCACTAAGAATCTCTGCAGACTCATCCAGTCCTACAGATCTTGGACTGCGGGGCAACATATGCAGCCACACCACACTTCCAAATCCGAAGCACTGAAACTCAGTAAGAGCACTGCCAACCAGATCAGAAAGAAATACAGAAACCAACTACATGCAAACAAACACAATAACACAGACGGCTCAACCAGCTATGAAAGGTTTAGTAAATCCTCAAAGACTTAACAACCGTGAGGTGAGATATGACAATTTTCACAAATTTTCTTTTACAGAAGTATTTTTGATAATTTTTTCAGCCATTTGGTTGCAACGAGAAATATAAAATAAATTACTACATTCCTGCTAAGGGGACAGCTGGAGGGTGGTTGGGAAATTGGGGACAATGGTGGAGGGAAGATCACTCAGGTGATGGGTTTGGGGCTGAAACATCAAAAAACCATAGCAATTGTATTGTGAGCAATTTTGTAAGCCACGGTATTTAAATAAAGTAAAAAGAGGAAAGTCTTTTCAAAATAAAAATGTTTATTTTTATTTTGTTTCTTCAGTAAAGGAAAATGTTTAAAAATACCAAAACAAATGATGCTAAGAACATTAAATACCACTATTCAAAACTAAAATCAAATCAGTCATATTCTAACCTCTTTATAGATACCAAGTTCAATTCAAGAACTGTCCATTGAAAGTTAAGTATAAAAATTAAAGCACTTTCAAAGAGGAAAAATCCTCATGGTCTTCATTTCAGCAATCTTCTTAGACCTGACATCAAAAGCATGAATCATATGGAAAAAAAAGATAAACTGAATT